CACAGCGTTTTAAATTGGATTCCCGTAGCGTAAGCTAGCTTACGCAACACGAGAGTACTCTCGTAAGAGAACGTCACGGTTACTAACGTAACCTCGGTTCTCTCTAGAAGAGGGAATGAGTGTTGCGTAACCCTGCCGTGCTTGTGCTACCATCTGGTTTCGCTTCAGTCGATGAAAACCAAGGAGCATCTTATCGAGCTCTGGCTTATATAGGCATAAGCCACGCCCATTCGCCCACTCATTGGTGCTTACGTCACGAGCAGTGCCTCGATAGGTTGCAGCAGTTGCCGCATAGCATCCAATAGGCGCGCGAGCTGCCTCGCCTAGGTCTGCTAGCTGCAGCAAGTGTGTTTTAAATTAATACAAATTATAAGGATAATTTTTGGCTTCAGTATTCTCGAGAAAAGAGGTTTTCCCTCTAAGGTTTTTTTTTCCATAGTCAACTAGCTAGCTATTTATTAGTTATCTAACATTAAAAAAAAAAAAAATATTTAATGAGAAAGTCATACGAACCTCAAAGTGTTAACCTGTCACCTCTGACCTTCAACAGCTGTCACAGCTCCTGGTGCAGATGGGATGTGTTGTTGCAGGAACTGATATGCTATAGGCTACTCCTGACTGGTCGAAATCTCATGCTACTTAGGACAAATGTAATGTACAGAAGTAGCTGCACTGCTTAAATACAAAATTAAAGTTTTTGAACGAAAAGATAAGTAAAGTCACTCTGATGACAATTTTTATGTGAAATGTGCATATTTACCCCCAATTGTCATGGTATTGGGAAAATTATTATTTTTTTAAACTTGAAACCAATTTTATTGGATTCCTTGACCCCAAGAATGTACACTTTGACACCAAATTTGTCATTATAGCGATAACAGAAGCAAAGATATGGGCTCTAGAGTATTTTCGGCGCATTGGCGGCCATTTTTGAAAAAACATGTTTATTTCTGATACAAAGTGTGATCTCACTTGTGTCTTAGGATACATTTATTTGTATGACCCTAAGGTACTTCCATACCAAAGGAGACCTTTGCATCATGACTTGAAGTCAAAGGCCTATTTTTTGGGCTTAACCTCCCTACTATATAATATATATCATAAACATTTTTATGGTGTTTTTATTATGTGACTAACAACTATAGATGATAATAAAGTACAGAAACAACATTTTCATTTTGGGACGGTTGACATTCGCTTTAGGACGTTTCAAATTGTTTATCAGGACGGTTTCAGGACGGAGGTGAAAAAAGTTAGTCTGGAGCCCTGATTCCTCGAATTTAAAATGCAAAAAACGTGCATTCGAATTTTTGGTGTGTCAAGGTGCGCGCGAGACATGATGATGACGTAACTGACACGGTTTGTTTTTGTTAGCTTATCCAGTACAGCGTGGTGCGGCTGCGTTGTTAAAGGGATAGTTCACCCAAAAATGAAAACTCTGTCAGTAATTACTCTCCCTCATGTCGTTCCAACACCGTAAGACTTTCGTTCATCTTCAGAACACAAATTAAGATATTTTTGATAAAATCTGAAAGCTGGATCACTCCTCCATTAATTTCCTTCTCTGTGGGCCTCGAGTGAGTTCACGTAGTGTAATGGTGCGTTCACGTGCTATGGTAATTATGGTAAATACCAAAAGCCGACGTGGAAAATGCACATGAACACCCCCTCATGTGGTGTTTTCCACTGGGCAGCTCGTAGAATATTTTGATGCACGAGTTGCCGAGATGAGATAACCTTTGACCTTTTCAAAATGGCGGAGAGCAACGTGAGAGTCGAGAATGGTAAAAATATGTACTATTCATGATCTAGAAAATATACAGCATATTATTTTACCGTTTGAGTTTTGATAAATCATCTTCTTGCTGTAGCAGATGACTTAAGCAATCTAAGATAGCTTTAGCTAAATAACAGGTCTGGATCTCCATCTTTTTACCACATTACGACAACAAAAGCACCAGTTCACAAGTGGAAAATATCATATTTTCCATAGCACGTTAACGCACCATAACAGCGCAGCGCTTCTGGGTTGTACGTCACACACATCACACACATGACCAGCGTCGGCCAATAGTGAGCCTACATGTGACGTACAGAAGCGCTGCGCTGTTACACTACGTGAACTCACTCGAGGCCCACAGAGAAGGAAATGGAAATGAATAGTTGAATAAAGTCGTTATTTTAGTTGTTTTTTTTGCGCACAAAAAGTATTCTCGTCGCTTGATAAACTTAAGGTTGAGCCACTGTAGTCACTCGGACTATTTTAACAATGTTTTTACTACCTTTTCTGGGCCGGCAAGTTTCAATTACAATAGAAGCCTATGGAGGAGTGAGACAGCTCTCAGAGCTGAATGTGTGTTTCATCAGCTGAAAACATCGTCAACAAAAAGCACTCAGGACTCGCTCAGATCAAGTTGAGCGTCTGGTGTTTTTGACGAACAATATGTAGATGTAGTGAGTAGAAGTGGATTGTTTCTGAATGTCAGTTTGCTATCTTGTGTTCATGTAGTTCATTACGCTGTCTGTTGAAGTGTGTTTTCTCAGGTTACTGATGCACTTACACAGTTTAATGCACTATTTTAACTATTTTCCATGCATGCACATTAAGGAAATTATATTTTACTTAAAGCTGCAGTCCGGCATTTTTCCTCTTTGTCGCCATCTCTGTTTGAAATCTGTAATTGCAGTTATTCGCGGAATTATTAACTTTGCGTGAGTTGCACATCGGCATGAAACAGCGCGGATGAACACAATGTTTTGAGACTGCGAGTCTGTCAGTCACCGCGCCGATGTGGAAACTGGCATTCAGAATCACACATTCTACTTTTGGAAGTAGGCCTACAGTATGACCATGACAACATACGAATTTTCATCGGAAAATGTCATCCGAACAAGTAAGTAACATCCACATCAACTAAGGGGGGAAAGCCTTGCAGTAAATCGTGCTGATTAAATATAACGATCGCGTCAAACTTTGTTCTCAAATTATCAACATCAGCATTGTGACTACATTTAATGTGTATTATGATTACCCTGTAGTTCAGTTTCTATTTCTGTGCAGTCTAATTTCTAATTGTCATACCAATAAATTAATGTTTCTTTACTGGTTTTCTTTGAGAAAAAAGAAAAGAAAAAAAAAACACGTATCTGTAATCCGATGCATATTTAAAACTATATATAATTTCGGAGGAGGCCGGTTTGGTTTGCTTGGAGTAGAGGTGAATTGCTCCCTCTCATAGCTAGCACAAAATATTTACCATAATAGCTAAACGAATAAAGACAGGAAACTCCGTAACTGTGTGAATTAAGCGAACAAGTGTGCTACTGTTACACGATTGAACTATTGAAATGTCTTACCTGTCCTAAAAGAAAAAAAGCCGTCTCTGCGTCCGTTTTGAACCGAGGTTTATCCTTGTTTTCGCGTGGGCCAGTTGCAGTCTCCTTTTTCTCTAACGTTACCCACTCCGAAGTCCGAATTATTTGGGGTTTTACAAGTGGTGAATGTCCAGTTGTCACTGGTGATTGTCGTTTGAACCTTTCTGGATCCGCCATAAGTTTAATTATTTAATGCTGTGAGAAAAGGCTAAAAATGTCCACCTCCAACATCCTCACGCAATATAGCCGACTAGCCGGGACGCCTTCTTTATGTGTACGGGTGTGACGTAATGACGCAAAGACATGCTCGAATTTCCCGCGGAAATCCACCAGTACCACTGGAATTAAAATCATTATTACAAGCTAACCGTTTTGAATCGGGCAAAAGCAAGCAGATATTTTTGAACACTGGCTGGTTATGTTTTTTTTAATTATTATTATTTTGGAAAATTTTTAACCCAAAAAAGTTACGGACTGCAGCTTTAAGAACAATTATTTCAAAAGTGAATGCGTGAATTAAAGTGAATGTCATTTCATATGTGCTTTGCGCTCGCTTGAGCCCTCGTGTAGGCATAGGAGACAATACAGTCATTGTTTTCCTCTGACTTGGAAGTATTGTCTTTAGAATTAGAATATAATTCGAATTTTGATAATATTCTACATAGTAGGAAATAGCTGGGTTTCAGTCACGTGATTATGATGATGCGCGAAATTCAGATGGAGGGCAGGGAGTGAAGAGCGCAATGGACGAGAAGGAGGAAAGTCCGTACTGTACTACTTTACACGCTATTACAAGAGAAAGATATAAACAAAAAATCAAACATATGTTGGACGTGATCCTTACGTTATGAAGAGGAGCGATTTTCAACTGAATTGAAAGATTTTCCTGCCATCGAGGCGATAGATATCAGCAACTAACTCGTCTTACAGACATACTTTGACTTTACAAAGTTCGTAAACGTTACACGTTACACAAACATAGCCACTTAAGTTGTATTAACTCACCTTTGACGAAGTGATCACTGCACAAACGGGCATTTTCCCATTCGGCTCCTCCCGACCGCAGACGTAAGTTTGCAAGCCGTTTTCACGGAGTTTTTCGGTCAATTTCTTGCATTTCCCCCCCTTATGAACAACAACTTTTGGTGCACGATAAAAAACTCCTCGTGGTTTGATCGATTTAAGTAACCATAAACGACGCAAAACAGGCATTTTGAGTTTGTTATAGTGCTTTCTAAATACAGCAAATCACTTCCTGCCCTCCATTTGCATTTCGCGCCATGGCAACGCAGTGGCGTGACGTCATATGAAAACAAGCTATTCGAATGTAGCTTTTCAGCCATTTTGACAGCCCTACAACAAATATGGGGAAACAGTGCTTTTTTAACATTCAAGCATGACAACCTATAATATTTTTTAAACAAATTACCATGACTTTTCCAAAACTTCCAACCCTCCCCCCAGCCGATTTGATTTTTATTACTGATCTGCGTGAACATCCCTGAACAATGGAGAATATAATCAACATTCAAGCATGAAAACCTATTTTACTAGAGCCCAAGAACAACATCAAGACTTTATTAAAGTGCATAATAGGGAAATCTGATTCCAGTGATGATACTCACAGCTGCTGTCCGTCCTTTTGCGTGTAGAAACTGACGGATTTGATGGTTGCCACAACCACCACCATACACAGCGTGACGGGAATGAACAGCATGATCACATGTTTCGCTCCATATTTGAGAGTCAGCTCCTCGTCCTCGTCCTCCTCGGCGTCTGTGAGCACCTGTGGGGGTCGAGCGCTGGGCGGCTGTCCGTTCAGCTCCACCTCGTTCCTGCCGGGAGTCTCCGTGTGCCGGATGATCTCCGCACCATCATTAGACTACAGAGAGAGAGAGAGAGAGAGAGAGAAATAAAACAGAACGAGAGTGAATGAAAGGCTTCTGTTTTATTGTGCTTTACTCTACCGTGCAAAAGTTTAGGGTCTGTGCGATTTTTGAATGTTTTTAAAATAAGTCTCTTCTGTTCACCAAGGCTGCATTTACAGTAATAACAGTAACATTGTGAAATATAATTACAATTAAAAATTACCATAATTACCATTATCTACCATATAACATTTACTTCTCCAATCCCTAAAATACATAAGCAACTAATAGATAATAGTGTTTAAAATAGTCAAATCGATTAATCGCATCTAACATAAACGTGTGTGTATACAGTACCAGTCAAAAGTTTGGAAACATTACTATTTTTAAACTTTTTGAAAGAAGTCTTCATTTATTTGATCAAAAATACAGTAAGAACAGCAATATCGTAGTATTTTATTACAATTTAAAATGATGGTTTTCTATTTTAATATACTTTAAAATGTAATTTATTCCTGTGATCAAAGCTGAATTTTCAGCATCATTACTCCAGTCTTCAGTGTCACATGATCCTTCAGAAATCACTCTAATATGATGATTTGATGCTCAAGAAACATTTATGATTATTATCAATGTTGAAAACAGCTTTTGCTGCTTCATATTTTTGTGATACATTTTTCTCAGGAATCTTCAAAAGAACAGCATTTATTTAAAATGAAATATTTTGTGTCATTATAAACGTCTTTAAGGGACACGATTTTTTTATCACGATAATTGGTGCCGCTTTTATGGTAAGCGGTATAAGAGTGGACCTCTTTTGATAACTTATTACAACAAGAACTCTGAACCTTTAAATACAATAAAATAATACACAAAAATGCTTGCAAACAGATTAAAGTGAAAAAGGACAATAATTAAGAATCAGAAGATTTTGCATGTCTTACTCCACATTCAAATGTAAAAATACAATTGTTTTAGTGTAAACAAAACAAAGCCTATTAAGTATTTGATGCTGTGATGAATCTGAAAATCTGAATGGCTGTTTGTTTCTAGTTTCCTTGCTAGTAAGTGCATCCAAAAAAAATCTCTTTCAAAGATTTAATGCCATGAACCTGAGGAAAAGGACATTAACATCCAGAAAACTAACGTGTGTGTGTGTGTGTTATCTGATGAATCTGAAAGAAGGCTTTCAACACGCATGTCAAAGTTCAGCCTCATCCCGGCAGTGACGAGGAAACGAAAATATTGAAAAAGTGCCAGATTTTTCCAGCTGTGAAGACAGAGTCAGATAAGTGTAGCCTGAAGCAACAAACAGTGATAAATACCTCAAGCCCTTATAGCTTTATCTGACACGGGTGCGGTTCGATCTTACACAACTGAACACACTTCCTCTGATCTACTCCAGTGTCATCAAGGGGAAATGCTCTTTTAGTAGATCTCGATGCAGAAACGACAGCGCCAGCATGATGATCCACACTTTTCTCTACTATAAATAACATCCTTAAACCACAAAGCTCTGAAGCCACAGAAGAGAAATCAGAGAAAAAGTAGACATTATCCCCCCTCTCCTAACTAGCTCGCCCGTCCCGACTGTTGATCCACACCGTTCTGTTGTTTATCTCACAGCGAGAGATGAGGACATCATCAGAAAGATGAAATCGTCATTGCTAAACTCGAACCTCTGTCATACTGAAGGAATGACATAAGCTCATAAATGATCTGCGATGAACGTGTGACCATGAATTTATTAATGTACTGTATATATGTAATTGAATGTTATGTATGGACGTGATATGATACTACTTTTGCACGAGCAGATTTTAGAAAATGGTGATTTGCTATTTGCACAGCTCTTTGTGTAGCCTTTATGTTTTATGTACTTTTGTCCTTTAACTGTTTTAACCCTGTACCTCTGTTCTGTCTTCTTGTAATCTGTTTGTAGCAATCTTTTTATATCCAAAACTAATTTCTCCTCGGGGAGACAAATAAAGATACTTTGACTTTGCTACGTCCTAAGGTCCTCAACCACTCGCTCCAGGCTGGCCATGTTCCAGCTACACTATCAGACCACTTCTCAACCAAACCCATGTTGGACCCAGAAGTATTTGCCAACTACAGGCCCATCTCCCACCTTCCTTTTCTTTCCAAAGTGCTGGGAAAACCTTAGCCTGACGTCGTCATACTCAGACTCTAGTCAGCATGTGAGTCTGATTCTGCTCCATTGGGCTGTGATTATGGGGCGTTTCAACACAACCAGGAAAGAAAATGCCTCTGCACTCAATTGGATCGACAAATGCCTTGATCGCGGTTCTCTGTTCCTCTTTTAAAACGAATGCGCCGTGTACATCTTCTATAACAGACTGGACGGCTGAATCTACACATCTCAGTTCTCCAGCGGCGGCCATTTTGTTGTAAACGAACTCAACCCAAGCGCTCTTTGGTGACGTGATGATTACGTTACCGTTGATCAGCTGTCCATCATCATATAAAGCCCGCCCTGACAATTTGATTGGTCTGAACATAAATATCCATAATAAAGGCTAGATGTCTTACGGCGGAGTCTCTATCGTCATCACCGGCGGCCATCTTGTCACAGGCAAGCTTTCTGGCGGGCTCTGTGGTGCCTGATGTAAGATGAGTGATCAGCACGAACACAAATACTCTTATCTCGATGAAATCTTGACGGATTTACAAACGGTTTGGTTTCTTACAAACGTTATTAACGTGGCTGTAATTCTGGATGATTATTTATTTATACACTTATTATTCATAAGTATGCAGTGTCATAACTACATCTCTGACATTTATAACAAACCAAACCGTTTGAAAATCGAGCAAGTTATGGTTATTTAAAAAGTACATGCACCATTATAACACTATGTTACGAGTGAGCGAGCTGCCTGTGACAAGATGGCCGCCAGGTGCGGACGTCGCCCTCCATTGGCCAGCAGCGCGGACGAGACATCTAGCCTTTATTATGGATATCTATGGGTCTGAACCGCTCTGGTTCGAGCACACTTGCTTCACAACGGATCAAGTCCAGACCGAACTTCCCGACCTCAAATGCTGTGGGCAGGGCTAAGCTCGGCTGGCATCCAGGCTAGGAAAAAGTAGTTGCTGCACAGCTTCAGGTCCATATAAAACAAAACCATTTGCATGATAAATTGCAGTCTGGGTTCGGCTCTGGTCAGGGTCACAAACGACCCGTTGATGACAGCAGACGCGCGCTCTCACCATCCTTCTGGACTGCAGCGTTCGACACTGTGGATCAGGACATTCTCCTCCATAGTCTATTGGTTTATCAGACTCTGTTTTAGGGGTGGGAATCTTTTGGGATTCTTGATTTGATCCTCTTTGATTAAAGATTCTTGATTTTTAATCAAATTTCAATTCGATGCATAGATTTAAAATCTAGGATCAAATCTATGCATATATCGTATTGAAATTTGATTCAAAATCGAGAATTGAACAGCAGAGAAATGAACAGCAGCATTTATATATATAATATATAATTTATAATAACTGCGCTAATTTAATCTAGCCAGCTGCCGCTCAGCGTTCATATTCGCCACTCACGGCGTGAGTTCACGTGCATCTTTTGCATCATTAAACTGAATGAGCATCAAGTCGACACACATGTCTATGAAAGGAAGTGACTATCATCTGGATCGGTGTTGCGTTTCTCAAAAGCATCGTAAGCCAGAGTTGATTGGTTGTAATCGCTCTACGATTATTTAAGTTTGCGATGCTTTGGGGAAACACAGCCCATTCTCTTTTATAGGCGGGTATTTGTTCGTTACCACAGAAAACCGCTTTTCTCGTAACGTCTTACGTCAGCGGCGGCACTGAACGCGGATCCACAACAGAACCGGAAGACAATACAATGCTGAATAAAGTCCTAGTTTTTGTTATTTTTGGACCAAAATGTGTTTTCGATGTAGGGCTGGGCGGTATGACGGTATATATCGTTACCGCGGTAGAAAAGGTCAACCGTAACAGATTTTTTTATTCCGTGTATACCGCGACATGCAAATAAGTGGGCGTGGTTAACTCGCGTGCAACGTGCGTGAGACTGAGACACTGAGAATTGTAAAAAGAAACACGGAGAAAGCAGATCAAGAGGATCCACAAAGGAATTACATTTTCTAAAGGGTTGTTGTTAACGTGATATTTTCAGGGGAAAGGCGCAGCAGTCACTAGAGCAGTGCAGCACCCTACAGATTAGAGGAGTGCACGCTCGCAACGGGGAAAGCTGGACAACAACAGTTCATATATCAATATCTTAACGAATAGAAATAATCTTAAATAATGTATAGTTATCTGCATCTTTCCGTCTCTTATGTTTAGTTTTTAAACACGCAAACAGTTTGCCGCCCGTGGTAATGAACAACCTGCTTGTTAAAGTGAATGTATAATCCTGTAGCCTATCTGAGGCAAAATTACTAAATATGCATCGCGAGTTATATATTTCTAACTCCAAACAATTGGCCACCGAACCAGCTGATAAAATCTTCCTTTGATTCGATACGTGATTACAACTTGACACTCAAATTAACCGATCGCATTTTAGTGATGCAGAAGACGCGCGCGTGCACACGCACTGAGGGAGCGCGGTGTTCACCGGGCTATGGTCAAATAATGACGCAGTTACAAGGTGTGTATAATTTAAACTAGGCTACTTTGTCAAGCTGCTGTTCGGTTTTCAAACTGCTGCTCTCCTTCTAGACACTTCATTGATTAAAGCTCAGGGTGACGGGTTGCCAGATATCACAAAAAGAGTAAAACAAGCCCCTTAAAAACGCAGTGTAGCCAATAGGCAGACATGGCAAAAATGTACCGGGGAACACATTTAAACATAACTAGTATTACTATCCTACAAAATTAAAAGGAAATAACTAATTTATCATGAATAGAATAGTTCAATATAAAATATTCAGATATTATTAACTGATTGATGAAGTAAAGCATAACATGAGATTGAAAAATTATTCAGAAACATTTTATTTAAAGTTTAATTGCACCTATGAGTTGTATTTAATATCAATCAGTTGGGGGCAGTTCATCTAAAAGTAGTTTACCAAAGAAATAATTTACCAAATAAGAGAAACAGAAAGCAATGTGAAGTACTTTTCATTTCTAAAGTATTTGGGTTTATTTATTATACAAAGCCCTTTTTGTCGATTTTTCTAAAATAACTACATAACTGTATCGTGAAATATATCGTTACCGTGAAATAGAATTTTGGTCATACCGCCCACCCGATGCTTCAAAACATTCTAACTAACCCACTGATGTCACATGGACTACTTTGATGATGTCTTTATCTCCTTTCTGGACAAGGACAGTATACCGGACATACATTTCCAATGGAGGGACAGAAAGCTCTCGGACTAAATGTAAAATATCCTAAACTGTGTTCTGAAGATGAACGGAGGTCTTACGGGCTTGGAACGACATGAGGGCGAGTCATTAATGACATACTTTTCATTTTTAGGTGAACTAACCCTTTAAGCATTTAGAAAATCGATTTTTGAAATTTGTGAATCGATTTGAATCGGCGGAAGATAGAATCGCGATTCATTTGTGAATACATTTCCCCCCCCCACCCCTACTCTGTTTATAACTGGTTTTCATCCTACCTGACTGGGAGAACTGAGCATTGGGAGATGCTAAATCCTTGACACACAGCGTTACCCGTGGTGTCCCTCAAGGCTCGGTGCTCGGCCCCACCCTGTTCTTCCTCTATATGCTCCCCTTCATTTCACTGTTAAGCTGATGACTATCTCAACTATCTCAGGACAAATGCAACCCCTCTGCAGTGCTGCCCTGACATCCACCACTCTGACCCGCTGCCTGGAGGGAATAAAGGCGTGGATTAGGCCTGCACGATTAATCGCAATGAAACCGCACGCGATTTGGCAAAGGCTGCTATTATTTTATGCGCAGCTTGTCAGTGCAGCACGGATGATAAATGCTGCTCCGCCTGAACACCAGAGGTCGCTCTGGCCAAGACACGCCAGATATGCCCCGCAGAAGAAGTACGATAACGCACGTCATTCCAGGAAATCAAATCTAACTTACCGTAATTCCTCAAATAAAGACCGGTATTCAAATAAACGCCGGGCCTCTGATAGTGGCCGGGGGCGTGGTCAACGCGGACAAATAAAGGCCGGTCTCAAATTAAGGCCGGGGAAAAAATAGTGTGAATAGGTACACTTTAAATGAATGTACACTCAAAGACGGACGCGCTCAGCGCTTGTCATATATCACAACTATTAAGTGTTTTTAACCACATGTTTATTTTAGGTTTCAGACATTTAAATAGATATGATTTATAGCAAAACAATAAATTTATAGTTTGTAAAATACACAATGGTGTCTATGGAAGCAGCAATAACAATCCATTCAAATATATTTGGCGACGTGTTTTATTCATATCAGATACACAGTGTAAGTAACTATAAAGTTTACTCTATTCTTCTCCCAGTTCACCGGCCACTTACTTTCATGTATTTCGGGAGAAACTGAAGAATTCACGCGCTGTAACTTAACAAATAACGTTACAACAGGAATCTCCGAACTGCGGTGCCCATCTCACGTTACAGATCAAGATCATTTATAAAGGGTTTTAAACGACAAAACAAACTCACTTACACGGATTTGAGAGTCAGAATAGAAGATAGTTGATGACATGGTAAGCAAGTTTGTTAATATTTAGAAATAAGAGCGCTACATCTGTCATATAGCGCTATTTTGGCTGTGGTGAACACGTGCCAAGCATGACGCGTCACCATGGAAACTTGGCTGGCTGGCGGGCGGGCTGGCGGGCGGGCGGGCTGGCGGGCGGGCGGGCGGGGATCGCGAATTAGAAATGAAGGCCTGCCTCTAATAAAAGCCTGCTTCAAATAAAAGCCGGCTACCATCTGCAGTTCAGGTAAATAAAGGCCCCGGCCTTTATTTGAGGAATTACGGTAAGCTGGACAATAACTTTATTCTAGAGCTGCTGTAAAGCCAAAACTATCTCTGTTACTGTAATTTCCTATTATCACTGTTAAGCTGCTTTCAAACAATCTATATTGTTAAAAGCGCTATATAAATGAATGTTTCCAAACTTTTGACCGGTAACTTACTCTACATACATACAAACTTCATGTTAGATGCTATAAATCGATTTGACAGCACTAGTTTAAAACAATATGCCTCACAAATCAGCCTTACCACATTATTGACCGCATTTTCCGCATGATCGGCCATCGATGCTGTGAAGTGACCCAGGGATCATAGAAACAGCAGGACCTGTGGACTGAGAAAACACAATAACCTCAATAACAGCATAATAAAGTTTATGACTGAGGCGAATATACACATCTCACACTGATTACCTCTTTGAGTTTAAGCCTATAACTTTCAGAAAGAAGAACTTATAGTTCCTAATATCAAGATATAATCTCTTTTCAAGAAAGTACTGTGGTTGCACCAGGGTACAGTGATGACATCAGATGACAATATTATTATACTTTAATATAAATACTACGACTAATGTTACCATCTTCTCAGAAAGCGTGGTATTTACATAACTCTCCAATGGTAACGTTACTTAGAGAACACCATAGTAATACTTTAGTGTATCTTGAACCCATGGTTTTACAATGCTATTTGATTTAACGTTAACCACACACAGCAGAAGAGCTTCCTCAAATCTAGTTATGCGGAAACCGCTTCCTTTCCCACTTCAAATGGAGGGAAGCCGATTGTTTTTGATTTATTTCGGGTTATAGAACTTCTGAACTAAATAAACGAGTAACGCTTTATTTCATTACAATGTAGCTTCAGGCTAGTTAGCGGATCTCATAGCCATTTGATTGTCTCCTGTAACAATAGATAAATTACACGAATAAGGTGTAAGTAAAAACTTCACAACTAAAAGGAGACAGCCATATAGTCGTACACCAGTTTATGCAAAATGAAGACACGAAACTGTTCAATTAACTTCATTTCTAGATGAATGCCTGACCAACCTGGAGTCTGAATTCACAATGATAAAAGCCCAACACTGTGAAGCGCGACACGGTCAGACAGAGGCGCAGCAAAAGGTCAAAACAGTTCGTTTTTCAAAATAAAGTAAATTCGCATTCAAAATAAATTCGCGTTCAACGAAATAAAATTAATAGTTTCCGACACGCTATATTAAACGTCCTAGTAGGGTCATGCAAGTGTGACTTTTCCCCCCTCATAATTTCGAGATATAAACTCGCAATTGTGATAAAATGTCAGAATTGAGAGAAAAATGTCAGAATTGCGAGATCTATAAATTCGCACTTTTAAGAAAAAATTTCCGAGTTACACATTTTTTTTAAATCCGAATTCTGACTTTTCTTAGAATTGCGAGTTTATATCACACAATTATGGGAAACAAAGACAGAATTGTGATTTTATATCACACAATTCTGAAAAAAGTAAACATTTGGAGAATTTTAACTATTATTATTATTTTTTATTTAATTGGTTTTGTTTTAAATAATTTTCATAATTTTAAATAAAAATATAAAGGAACATATACACAAATATTATATATTTTACATATTTATTATTATTATTATTAATTTTTTTTTTTTTTTTTTTAAATAAGTCACTTTTATTTTGAAAACCAGAAATTCCTTTCAGTGCTTTCTGGGCTCCCGCATGTGGAGTAAACTGGAGCATGAGTGGGATGGAGGCATGGTACATGGATGAGTCCAGTGAGGACCAGAGACTCCCTCACAGACTGAGCCCGAACCAGCCCGTGACCCGCGAGCAGCTCCAGCACATCGGCGTGTATCACTGGAAGGTTCGGTCAGGATTCACTCAGATCAATGTTGCACACACACATCACGTGACACCAGCAGGAACTCTGCGCTGTGTGACGAATGCAAAACAGAACCATTTAGTCGATTTTATTTTATTTTATTTTAACCATTTTATTTTACTTGTCATTTATTCATTGTCCATGAATGTTGCAGTACAAGAACATTTCTGAAATAAAACGTCAGCAATAACTGACATGATCCACTTTTACAAAAACATGACTTTATGCAGTAACATTATACATTACGACGCTTTTTGGAATATTTTATTGTTTTGATGAATATTATATTGAACATAATTTAGTTTTACTGCTCCTTTTTACAATAAGTATCTTGGTACTAGCATACAAATACCCTGGTGTTCTTTTTCAGTTACCATATTATATATTACAATTTTACAAAATATTACAAAATTACAATAAAATATATATAAAAACGTATTTCGTTTATATATTAAATTTTATTTCAGCTAGTTTCCAAGGCAACATTTCTAATTTTTGTTTAGTTTGAGAAGTTGAAGTTCTGAAATAACTAATAATTATTATTATTATTTTTTTAAATACTAAAGTGAAAAGAGAAAAAATAAATGCTAAATCAAAATATTAACAATAACTATAATAGTATGTCAAGCATACTAAAATAACAGTTTTAATTCTTCTTCTTTTTTTCAGTTAAATGCAGATATTTATGAGAATGACCCAGAACTGCAGAAGATCCGTGAGGAAAGAGGTTTTTCCTATATGGATATCATAACTATTCACCCGGATAAACTTCCTGATTATGGTAACAAAGTAGGTTATGCATAAATCTTCATTGATTTGGTATAAAATGTGAATAATTTTCAGCATGTAACGAAATCCGCCTGTAAATCTGATTCCTGCCTTTCCAGCTGAAAATGTTCTACGAAGAACACCTTCATCTTGACGACGAGATCCGCTATATTCTGGACGGGTCGTCTTACTTTGACGTGAGGGACAAAGACGACCGCTGGATCCGATTGGCCGTGTGTAAAGGTGACCTCATCACACTACCGGCGGGAATCTACCACAGATTCACCGTTGATGAAACCGTACGTGTCTCCATGATCCACTGAAGTATTTAATTTAGCAGACGCTGTTATCAGACACAACGTTTTCCTCCTCAGGACTACACTAAAGCCATGCGTCTGTTCGTCGGGGAGCCGGTCTGGAAGGCTTATAACCGCCCGGCGGATGACTTTGACATCCGTAAGACCTACGTCAGCTCCCTGAGATCCTCCTGAGACGCTTCTGAGACCTCCCTGAGACGCCACATCTGATTGGTTTAGAGTTAACGAAGGACCGAATAACAGGATTGCTGACAGGATCTTCATCAGAATGAAACTCTGTAGGGCCTTTAACAAACACTCTTGACGGTCGTAGATCTTATGTGTCATTGCTGATGATAAACACATAATACAGTAAATTTAGTATTTTGATAGTTATGACGATAAATCGCAGAGTTTAAAACTCACGTTTTGTAGCATCAATTCATTACTTTCTATTAAAAGATGTGGCCAGGAAGAACTAGCCTATTAACTGTTGTGTTTTCATGTTTCCATCCAAAGTTCAACTTATGCGAACTTTTAACTTTCAATGCGCAAAATTGGAATACAACAAAATCCTGATAAACTAGCGCAAAATATCATTAAGAAAAATGGTTGCAAAAAAAAAGTTGGCGTTTCCATCCAGTGTTTTTTATGCGACAACATCCCAAAATCCGCATAAAAATAGGTGGATGGAAACATGATTTGCGTCATAAAATATATTTGAACAAATTATTATTTAGTAATACTGCACAGAACAAAGTCATTATACTGATGACAACATTATAAAAAGTAAATAAACAGAATAATTATTGATGTTGGTTATATGAGAATGTGTGGTCATATAAGTATGATTATATTTATATGCTTGCCGTTTGTTTTGTTATTCATATCTTAACACTAAATGAGTATGTATCAATATAGAAATATTATGCTAAAAATTATTTTAAAAGAGATGTAAAATATTGTAAATTGTTCTATTTTTAATTGACAACTATATTTAATCATGTCTGGCATGTTGACAAAATATTATTGGGGTAAATAGAGGTTACTTGAACATTTACTGATCTATAAGCATTTCACAGATGTCATTATACATGAATTGTATAAACTACTGACAGTGCATCACAGTTCGACAACATTCATCAAACTGATTGAATAGGGTACAAATGTAACTAGTAAATATCACCATACTTCATCAGCTGATTGATTACATTAAGAGTAGCAAAAAATCCTTTGTTTTGCATGTTTTCTGAAATGCAGAGTTTTAAATATGCAAATGAGACATTATCTAATTAAATGTCCACTCATTTGCATACATATCCAGAACAGAAATCTGATCATCGGATAAAGCCCGATTTAAAAATTTGGTTGACAGTTTTTGAATAAGTCATTTTGTGGATTTTGAATATCTCTTTTTATCACTCCATAAATCAGAAAACACTGTTAATAGTCAAAAAAAAAAAAGTATAAATCAGGTGAATGATATATGAACAAACCTCTCAGAATATATAGATAGGAATGTAAAGTTTGGTGTATGTACAGTAAAGTGGAGATTTCTGGTTCAGTGAATGAGAAAAATAAATTCAATAAATAATATTTCCACTCGCAAATAGCCTAAAATCTGAAACCTGGCCGATGCATGATTTGTTTTTATGTATTGTTGTCAGTAGAGTCTCATCCTGTGTGCTCAACCGTAGGATCACAGTGTTATTTATAAAGCACATCTCAACAAGTTTTCATACATTTATTCACAAGATTTAATTTTCTCATTTTCAGAAATACACAGTACAGTTGTAAGTAGCTTACACTCTTTGAAAACAATCATTTAATGTGCTCAAAAGCATTTCTCTTGATTCCTGAAACGGGGAAAAGTGTGTAACCCTTTTTTTCTGTCCTGTGCGGAGCAAATATCGACATATCAAGTTAACTTTGGTCCTGTCTGTACACCGTAAGACTCGTAAAAGCTTTAAACGCGGAACAATATTCTGGTTTGGTCCTGCGGGTCTCACACCAGCTTGAGGCACTGGGTGTTGAAGCTGTCCCCTTCTCTACAGGCCGTGGCCTCCAGCAGAGCCTGCTTCTTCTGCGTGCTGCGGGACGACTCCAGCTCGTACATGGTGGTGAGGTTGAACAGCACGCTCTCGTGCAGGTACAGCGCAGGGTCCTTGTGCACCAGGCTCTCCAGCTGGCCCAGGGACTCCTTCAGCCGGCCCAGGTACAGGAGACACACCGCTGCGTTGTTGTTCGCCTGAGGAGAAAAAGTTCACGTTGTTAGAACTGGCACATGCTGTTTTTCTAGTGGTAAAGTCCCCATGAGTTAAAAAATGACAGTACTTGGTTTTTTAAAATGGAATATTACTGTATGATTTATCTACGGAAGAGGATTAGGGCCAAGCAATAATAAAAAAAATTAAACCATCTTGAGATTAAAGTAATTATAATGCGAAATTAAACTCGTTAAATTTCAAGAAAAAAAAGTCGAAATACAATCTTGAGAATAAACTCGTTAAATTTTGAGAATAAAGTTGTTGTGTTTCGAGGAAAAAACTCGTTAAATTTCGAGAATAAAGTCGTTGTGTTTCGAGAAAAAACTCGTTAAATTTTGAGAATAAAGTCGTTATGTTTCGAGAAAAAAACTCGTTAAATTTCGAGAAAAAAGTTGAAATAATCGTGAGAATAAACTCATTCAATTTCGAGAATAAAGTCGTTGTGTTTCGAGAAAAAAACTCGTTAAATTTCGAGAATAAAGTCATTATGTTTCGAGAAAAAAACTCGTTAAATTTCAAGAAAAAAAAGTCGAAATACAATCTTGAGAATAAACTCGTTAAATTTAGAGAAAAAAGTTGAAATAATCGTAAGAAAAAACTCATTCAATTTCGAGAATAAAGTCGTTGTGTTTGGAGAAAAAAACTCATTCAATTTCGAGAATAAAGTCGTTTCGAGAAAAACTTGTTAAATTTCGAGAATAAAGTCGTTGTGTTTCGAGAAAAAAACTCGTTACATTTCGAGAAAAAAGTCGAAATAATCGTGAGAATAAACTCATTCAATTTCGAGAATAAAGTCGTTGTTTCGAGAAAAAACTCGTTAAATTTCGAGAATAAAGTTGTTTCGAGAAAAAATTCGAAATAATCGTGAGAATAAACTCATTCAATTTCGAGAATAAAGTCGTTGTGTTTCGAGAAAAAAACTCGTTACATTTCGAGAAAAAAGTCGGAATAATCGTGAGAATAAACTCATTCAATTTCGAGAATAAAGTCGTTGTGTTTCGAGAAAAAAACTCGTTACATTTCGAGAAAAAAGTCGGAATAATCGTGAGAATAAACTCATTCAATTTCGAGAATAAAGTCGTTGTGTTTCGTGAAAAAAACTTGTTAAATTTCGAGAATAAAGTCGTGTTAAGAAAAAAAAAGAAAAAAACTCGTTAAATTTCGAGAAAAAAGTCGAAATAATCGTGAGAATAAACTCATTAAATTTCGAGAATAAAGTCGTTGTGTTTCGAGAAAAAAACTCGTTTAATTTCACATTATAATGACTTTAATCTCGAGATGGTTTTATTTTTTTATTATTGCTTGGCCCTAATCCTCTTCCGTATTCATCTGTGCACATCATTTTTTAATTTATGGGTCTCGTAATCTCGAATCAGAATATCTTCTCCTCCCTCTTGCAGCGTCTCATCTCTTCTCTGATGACGAGGGCGGGGCAACCTGTCACTCACATGAGATCAGCCAATAGCAAACCACAACCATCCAATCAATTCCCCACGAACAAAATCAAACCCCGCCCACATTTGTTCTCGTTCCAGAAGCGTTTCACTCGGATCATCTTTTTCAAGTCATTCGGGTCTCAGTCTATTAGCCCTGACTGAGACCTGGATCAGACCAGAGGACACTGTCACACCTGCTGCCCTCTCCACTAAATTCACTTTCTCACACACCCCCCGTCTGACCGGAAGGGGTGGTGGTACTGGTCTGCTCATCTCAAATGACTGGAAATTTGATCCTTTACCACCTCTATTTGACAACAGCTCATTTGAATCACACTCAATTACCATCACTAGTCCTATAAAAATCCATTTTGTAGTTGTATATCGTCCCCCAGGTCAACTTGGCAGTTTTTTGGAGGAGCTTGATGTGCTACTCTCATCCTTCCCAGAAGATGGTACTCCTCTTGTAATTCTTGGAGACTTCAACATCCACCTAGAAAAACCTCAGGCTGCTGACTTCCACACCCTGCTTGCATCATTCGACCTCAAACGAGTATCTACTGTGGCTACTCACAAATCAGGTAACCAATTGGACCTCATCTACACACGCTACTGCTCTACGGACAATACACTGGTCACTCCACTGCACACCTCAGATCACTTCCTCCTCACTCTCAACCTCAACCTGCCTCAGAACACAACACACACTCCTCCACAGGTCACCTTTCGACGAAACCTACGCTCACTTTCACCCTCTCACCTATCCTCTTTGGTCTCATCCACACTTCCTCCACCTGATCAGCTCTCAACACTTGATACTAACTGTGCAACTGATACTCTTTTCTCCACTTTAACATCCTGCTTGGACAACTTCTGTCCCCTTTCCTCCAGGCCAGCCCGCGCCACACCCTCTGCCCCCTGGTTAACTGATATTCTTCGCGAACATCGTACTAAACTCAGGGGTGCAGAGAGAAAGTGGCGCAAATCGAAAGATTCGACAGACCTGGGTCTTTATCAATCCCTTCTCTCTTCCTTCTCTGCTAATATCTCTACTGCTAAAATGGCTTACTATCACAACAAAATCTTCAATTCTTCTGACTCTCGCATGCTTTTCAAAACCTTCTCCTCTCTTCTTAACCCTCCTCCTCCTCCTCCTTCATCAACCCTAACAGCCGACGATTTTGCCACATTCTTCATAGAAAAAACAACCACCATCAGCGGCCAATTTACCAATCCACAAACTGACACACACATTTTACCAACAAACGCACACATTCTACCCTCCTTCTCTCTACTTTCAGAGGCGGAAGTCTCTAAACTCCTCCTTTCCAATCGCCCTACTACCTGTCCGCTTGATCCTATCCCCACTAATCTACTTCAAGCCATTTCTTCCTCAGTTGTACCCACACTCACGCACATCATAAACACCTCTCTTCACACTGGTACCTTTCCCACAGCTGTTAAACAGGCTCGAGTAACCCCACTGCTTAAGAAACCCAATCTAAATCCAGCACATCTAACAAGTTACAGACCGGTATCTCTTCTTCCATTTGTCGCGAAAACACTTGAACGAGTTGTTTTCAACCAGATCTCCTCCTTTCTTACACAGAACAACCTCTTGGACGACAATCAGTCTGGTTTCAAAAGCGGACACTCAACTGAGACTGCCCTGCTCTCAGTAATTGAAGCTCTGAGACTGGCAAGAGCAGCTTCCAAATCCTCAGTCCTCATCCTGCTGGATCTGTCTGCTGCTTTTGACACAGTTAACCACCAGATCCTCCTGTCAATCCTAAAGATGAAGGGCATCTCGGGAACTGCACTCCAATGGTTCGAGTCTTACCTCTCAGGTAGGTCCTTTAGGGTGTCGTGGAGAGGTGTGGCATCTAAGACCCAACATCTAGCTACTGGGGTGCCTCAGGGCTCAGTGCTTGGACCACTCCTCTTCTCCATCTACATGACATCACTAGGATCTGTGATTCAGAAACATGGCTTTTCCTATCATTGCTACGCTGATGACACGCAACTCTACCTCTCATTCCAGCCTGACGATCCGACGGTAGCTGCTCGTATCTCAGCCTGCCTGACAGACATCTCTGGCTGGATGAAGGACCACCACCTTCAACTAAACCTTACGAAGACAGAGCTACTTGTGGTCCCGGCCAACCCAACACTTCATCACAACTTCTCCATTCAGCTAGGCTCGTCATCCATAACTCCATCAAGGTCAGCTAAGAACCTTGGGGTTGTAATTGATGATCAGTTGAAATTCACAGACCACATTGCTAGAACTGCCCGGTCCTGCAGATTTGCCTTGCACAACATTAGGAGGATCAGGCCCTTCCTTACAGAGCATGCCACACAACTCCTCGTCCAAGCACTTGTTTTATCCAGACTGGACTATTGTAATGCTCTCCTGGCTGGTCTTCCAGCTTGCTCTGTCAAACCTCTACAATTGATCCAGAATGCTGCAGCCAGAGTAGTCTTCAATGAGCCGAAGAGAGCACACGCCACTCCTCTCCTCACACAATTGCACTGGTTGCCAGTTGCCGCTCGCATTAAATTCAAGGCACTGACGTTTGCCTACAGAACAACCACTGGCACTGCTCCCTCTTACCTAAACTCATTACTTCAGACTTATGTGCCATCCAGAAACCTGCGCTCTGCTAGCGAATGTCGTCTTGTGGTACCATCTCAAAGAGGCACAAAATCTCTTTCTCGGACCTTTACCATGGCTGTTCCCTGTTGGTGGAATGATCTGCCTAACTCAACCAGAGCTTCTGAGTCAGTAGCCACTTTCAAGAAACTGCTGAAGACATATCTTTTTCGACAGCACTTGATTCAGTAGAATTAACACTTTCTCTTCTCTTCTATTCTATATAAAAAAAAAAAAAAAAAAAAAAAAAAACCTGCACTAAGATTAAACTGAGAGGGGTTATAGCACTTACGTATTGTTGTCCTACTGTTAGTCTAACTGCTTCTATTGTTCTCATTTGTAAGTCGCTTTGGATAAAAGCGTCTGCTAAATGAATAAATGTAAATGTAAATGTAAATATATATGACACAATAGGGAAGAATCGGCGAGCGCAACACCCGTTTCATGCCGATTTAAAGCATCACTTGTCATCAGTGTTCTGGAAAGAGAACGAGCACTTACCACTGGGTTCTTGGGGTCAAGCTTCAAAACACTGGAGAAACACTCGTGTGCGTCTGCGTAGTTATTCTGGCTCAGATAAACAAAAGCCCTGTGGACAACATCACATTCAGCTTAAACAGAAGCACAGGCTGTACACTAGCGGACACAAGTTTGGAGTGATTAAACATGTTTTTGAAAAAAGTCTCTTTGCTCACCAAGGCTGCTCTACAGTAAAAACAATAATATTGTGAAATATTATTACCATTTAAAATATTCTCAGCATCATTACTCCAGTCTTCAATGTCACATGATTAATATTTTATATATATATATATATATATATATATATATATATATATATATATATATAGAGAGAGAGAGAGAGAGAGTAAATTATACTGTTATTCAGCAAGGACACATTCAATTGATGAAAAGTTAATTTTATAATGTCACATTTTTTTTTTTCAAATAAATGCTGTTCTTTTGAACTTTCTATTGATCAAAGTATCAAAAAAATATTAAGCAGCACAACTGTTTTCAACATTGATGATAATAATAAATGTCTCTTGAGCAGCAAATCATCATATTAGAGTGATTTCTGAAGGATCATGTGACACTGAAGACTGGAGTAATGATGCTGAATATTCAGCTTTGATCACAGGAATAAATTACATTTTTACAGTATATTCACATAGAAAACAGTTATTTTAGATTGTAATACTATTTCACAGTATTACAGTTTTTACTGTATTTTTGATTCAATTAGTGCATCCTTGGTGATCAGAAGAGACTTCTTTAAAAAATCATAATTCTTCCAAATTTTAAAACCGATTTCAATCTGAGCAGAAGTCAGTTTTTACCTGTTCATCAGAACTGAGGTGTCTTCGTTAGGTGCTTTTCCCTTTGATTGACAGGCGTTTTCCACATCCTGAAAATACTTCTCAGCAGTTCCTATGTCTCCAATCTAAAAATATGAACAAACAGAACATAAATGACCTTCTCTGTGTGAAGATAAAACACGAAGAGCAAAACAGACTCTTCAAAAACAAGGAATAGACACCGTGCCCTCATCCACTCGACTTCTGCAATAATCACAGACAACGGCTCGACAGCTAATATAAGGTATCATTCATATATATAACTAAACATAGGTTTCCTATAAGCTGCAATACACATGGTGCTTTGAAACATTAAATTACTCATAGCTTCATTTCCTTGTTTCTGTTTCGGATTCATTCACTTTCCCTTTCCATGTATGCATGAACGTGTGTGTGTGTTTGTTTTGATTAGTTATGTGTTCGTGATTTAGTGATTAGTGTTCGTGATTGTTGACTCAGAAATCATTCTAATATGCCGATTTTCAGGATTCTTTGATAAATAGAAAGTAAAAAAAAAAAACAGCTTTTAATGAAATAGCATCTTTCGTAACATTATAAATGTCTTTACTCTCACCTTTCATCAATTTAATGCATGAAAGTATTTTAAAAAAATCTCACTGAACCAAAACTTGATTTACTGAACCCAAAACAAGACGCATGCTAAATCTTTCCTGCTAGTCTAAAGCGCTGAGCTGTGTGAGGCGGTGTCATGTGACTCGGCGTGTCCTCCTGACGTCAGGTGTGTGTTGCAGTGTGTGTTCAGGTGTCCCTGCTCTCACCTGGAGGAAGATACGCCCGATTCCACTCAGCAACTGCACGCTTTGCTCCGGCTCGTACTCGATGATGGAGTGATACGTCTCCACTGCCAGAACATAGTCCTTAACGTGACAGGAAGGAGAAATCATTTAGCTTTTATTATAGATACACTATTTAAAGGGATACTCCACCCAAAAATGAAAATTCTGTCATCATTTACTCAACTAATATATATGATATATATCCATGAATCTTCATGCAGCTGTTTTCCATTCAACAACAATTCATAATGACCACGACTGTCAAGCTCCACAAGAACACACAATCACAAGGAAAGTTTCATAGAAGACGCGTATACGACTCTATATTCCACATTTTCTGAAGTCAGTTGATAGTATAAATACAGTTGAAGTATTTGTTTCTTCGCGTAGAGAAAATATAAGACAAACAAGAGCTTCATCAAGAGGCGACTGTGAAGCACATTTTAGAGTAACTGAGTTTGGTCGATCTGCTTATTCTGTAAGAGCTGTTAACAACTGGAATAATTTACCAATTAATATTAGACAGTGTCATACTTTTGCACAGATCAAGCTACATTTGAAAATGTGGTTAAAGGGGAGTCAGGTCTGTAATCATTGAATACTCTTATGTTTTGTCAAGGTTGTACAATCTTGGGGGATAGATTGTGTAATATTGTGTGATGTTTTGTAGGATGTATTTTGAGGTATATTTGGTATTAATTAAGATTGCTTTTTTATTGTTAAGTGATGGACAATTTGTTGTATATTCTCCATCTTACTGTCCATTGTCCCAGTCAAATATATATATACACACTCACCTAAAGGATTATTAGGAACACCATACTAATACTGTGTTTGACCCCCTTTCGCCTTCAGAACTGCCTTAATTCTACGTGGCATTGATTCAACAAGGTGCTGAAAGCATTCTTTAGAAATGTTGGCCCATATTGATAGGATAGCATCTTGCAGTTGATGGAGATTTGTGGGATGCACATCCAGGGCACGAAGCTCCCGTTCCACCACATCCCAAAGATGCTCTATTGGGTTGAGATCTGGTGACTGTGGGGGCCATTTTAGTACAGTGAACTCATTGTCATGTTCAAGAAACCAATTTGAAATGATTCGAGCTTTGTGACATGGTGCATTATCCTGCTGGAAGTAGCCATCAGAGGATGGGTACATGGTGGCCATAAAGGGATGGACATGGTCAGAAACAATGCTCAGGTAGGCCGTGGCATTTAAACGATGCCCAATTGGCACTAAGGGGCCTAAAGTGTGCCAAGAAAACATCCCCCACACCATTACACCACCACCACCAGCCTGCACAGTGGTAACAAGGCATGATGGATCCATGTTCTCATTCTGTTTACGGCAAATTCTGACTCTACCATCTGAATGTCTCAACAGAAATCGAGACTCATCAGACCAGGCAACATTTTTCCAGTCTTCAACTGTCCAATTTTGGTGAGCTCTTGCAAATTGTAGCCTCTTTTTCCTATTTGTAGTGGAGATGAGTGGTACCCGGTGGGGTCTTCTGCTGTTGTAGCCCATCCGCCTCAAGGTTGTGCATGTTGTGGCTTCACAAATGCTTTGCTGCATACCTCGGTTGTAACGAGTGGTTATTTCAGTCAAAGTTGCTCTTCTATCAGCTTGAATCAGTCGGCCCATTCTCCTCTGACCTCTAGCATCAACAAGGCATTTTCGCCCACAGGACTGCCGCATACTGGATGTTTTTCCCTTTTCACACCATTCTTTGTAAACCCTAGAAATGGTTGTGCGTGAAAATCCCAGTAACTGAGCAGATTGTGAAATACTCAGACCGGCCCGTCTGGCACCAACAACCATGCCATGCTCAAAATTGCTTAAATCACCTTTCTTTCCCATTCTGAGGCTATGTTTACACGGAAACGATCTGAAGAGAAAACACAAAAGTGGCGTTACGTTATCACTTTTTTTTCTGCATTTAGACGAGCGTTATGGGTGGGAAATCTGCGTGCACATGGTGACGCAAAAGTGTGTGAAATTCGATGTAGTATGAACTCCAGGCGGCTAGGTGGCAATGTGAAGCACTGGCACACAACAACACCAAGTCCGCGCGTCTGCGTACAACCTTAACTGTCTAGCAGACTTTTGCGTTTTTACCCTTTAGACGGGAACGCGACGGTGGAGCGTTTTGAAGATTTCCACTCTGGAGGGTGGTTTCACTTTTTTGCGTTTTTAAGCCCCAAAAACGCTGTCGTCGTGTAAACGAAAGGCACATCTGATAAAATATTTTTACATTTTCACTCACGAGCGTTCTCGTGTAAACAGGGCCTGACATTCAGTTTGGAGTTCAGGAGATTGTCTTGACCAGGACCACACCCCTAAATGCAGTGAAGCAGCTGCCATGTGATTGGTTGATTAGATAATTGCATTAATGAGAAATTGAACAGGTGTTCCTAATAATCCTTTAGGTGAGTGTATATATATATATATATATATAAAAAACATTCATGTCAGTTTGAATATGCAGAATGGAGAATGAGATTCGAGAGGAAGAGTGTGTGAGCTAGTTCATTTACGCCAGGGGTGCCCAACCCTGCTCCTGGCGATCGACTGTCCTGCACAGTTTATCTCCAACCCTAATTAAACACACCTGCTTTTAATTTTCAAGTGAGCCTGAAGACCTTAATTGGTTGCTTCAGGTGTGTTTGATTAGGGTTGGAGATGAACTGTGCAGGACAGTCGATCGGCAGGAGCAGGGTTGGGCACACCTGATTTACGCCATTGACTTCCATAGTATGGAAAATAAGACTATGGAAGTCTTCAAAACATCATCTTCTGTGTTCAGCAGAAACAATAGTAAATCATGACAGAATCATAAAGCATCAGCTGACTTCAGAAGTCTTCAAATATATAGCGCACACGGTGTATTGAATCACTGTTAAGATACGTTTTTATGCAGGTTTATCTTTGAGCTTGAGTTTGAGCCTGTGTGAAGGTTCTTCACAAATTGTCCTTTTGATTTACATAGAAAAAATACAGCATATGGATCTTGAAGAACAGCAGTGAGCAAATGGCTGTTTTTTAAGGAAGTACCGTGTCTATTAATAGGTAAACCTTCAGTAACGTCTTCAGCTAGTCAACTTGAGATCCTTTTCATCTAAACTGGTTATATCTCTTAAGCCTAGTGAAGGTTTTATGAGCAGTAGGAGAACCATATTCTTCCGCACAGCCACTCGAGGGCCGAAAGTCACACAGTGTACTGTTCATGTTAACTAATGTTAACAAAAGAAACCTTATTGTAAAGTAAAGTAAACAAGTACACCTTAAAATAAAGTGTAACCCAGCATTTTCATTTTGTGGATGAACTATTCCTATAATGTTTCACTCAAACTACTCAAACAGAAACATCTTAAACAGTTTTCACCTCACAAAACCCTTGTGTTGGCATTGCTAAAACTCTCAGGAAATCCATGTATGACATTTATACAATATATATATATATTCATTACAACAACAATTCATATTTGTGATTGTGAGTTTCTTTGTTGTGTGTCTGGTAACCAATTTATATGCGTGTCACTACAGTCTTTAGCCACAAGATGGCACTCATTTAACATGATAACTTGCAAAATATATATATTTCAGCTAATGACAATGGAAATCTAAGCGTATAGCATATAGGTATAGTATGTGTGCATAGACACGTATTTACCCATAGAAAAATGATCAGAAAACCTATTTTATCCCATTTCAATACAATCCAGTCGTCACCAGCTTGAAGGAAACCCTATGATTTATAACCCTAGATAGAGTGTATTTGTATGCATACAGATGTGATTCAGGTCAGATATAAATGTGTGACTGAGTATACGTGTCTGTATGTTTGTTCGCCCATGTACCTTCATCATTAGCAGACAGTTGGCCATGGAGTACATCACCCTGCTCAGACGTGACCTCCACAGCTGGATCGAGGCTGAAACACACACACACACACACACACAAACAGAGAGAGAGAGAGAGAGAGAGAGAGAGAGAGAGAGAGAGAGAGAGAGAGAGACTGAGCAAATGGACTGGAATTGGAAATTGCAGTCTTTCCATCCTTTTCCCGGCTACAAACCATCAATTATTTGTCTGCTGGTGGGAATTATAGTGCAGGAGGAAAAGACAGAGTGACAATCACATTTATTTCCCCCCTCTGGCTCACAGTAGACCCCCATCAGCGAGCCGATCTGATCTCAGATCTGTGTGTGTGTGCATGAACAGACTTCAGCGTATGTCTCAGTACTGATGGGTGTGAGACCGCAACTGAACTGAAGAAAGAGAGCGACACACCATCATGCCTGCCGCACAAACACACAATGATAATTATGATAATATTCCTAAAGTGCATACAAAGTAATAATAGGATTGTCAATCAATTAGAACTATATGAAAGAATAGTCAGAAAATTCAAAAAATTTTAATGGAAAATTTCATTCATCTGGCTTTTATTGCTCATATGGACCATGCTGATATTTATATGGATTAGATTCTGATAGTTTGCAATGTAAATCAATGAGATCTTTATAACAGTATAGAAGATAATTACATAAAATGCATATAAATGTTAATCGTCCCTCTATATCTGCCAATAATGTGTTAGTATGATATTTAAATGCTTAGTTTTATGATCAAAGCTCTGCAGTTTTAAAACATATAATGCAATGCAACATAATGATGATTGAGAGATGAACAAATAAACCTTCCTCAAAAGCCTGATGATCATATTTGAGACTCACATTTGAACATGATTTTTCTAAAAAAAATTATGTATGGATAATCAAGTAAACCTAAGATGCTTCAGTTCAGTAAGTGTTCATCTTGAAATATTACTAACAATATAAACGTTATTATGTTCAATCAGTAAAGATTTCACAGCAAAAAGACACGTGAAACATGAGCTGAAGGTGGATGTTTTTACAATTATACTATTATAGCCTGTTACTGCTTATAGCTGAATTGAACTAATTTCATAATTGATGAAATGTACAGAGTTATTGAACTGAACAGTGAACTAAATTGAGCTGAATAATGACATGATTGTCTTTTTAGAGCTGCTTTACAGCAGTTTGTTTGAATTCTGTTTGCATAATTGATAATCATTTTTCTGTTTATTGCTAGTATTATGTTAATGTCACTTATCATTTTACTTTATTTCAAGCTATCCACTTTCTGCTGTAATGTTGAAATTTCTCACTTGTGAGACAAATAAAGGCTGATCTAATCTAATCTACTAAATGGAGGACAGCAAATGATATTGATTATATTGAAGATGATCCTGCTTTGAACCTGAGCCACCCACAGCTCAGACAAAATTTGCACTTTCAACGCACATTATAGGATGTTTGTCATCGAACTGAACCCATCCTCCTCAGATTAACCTCTCATCCTGACCAAAAAATCCTCACACTGCCAGAGGCAAACTAGGGCAATGAACAGCCACACAAATCTCAGGGTGAGAGTAAAGGGGTGCCAGCAGTCTGTCAGCACTTGGCAGCTCCCTCAGAGACATGTGCCCATGATGGAGGGAGTCCGTCCCGCTGAAACCACATCAGGCACACAGGCGGTGGGCCGGTGGGGGGCTTCTGAAATCACAGACTCTCCTCATAGCTATGCTGAAGCATGTATTTATCTCTGTCTTCACCAAAACAACACGTGAGCAAGTCAATCGAGCATGCAAGACTTATAGAACACGTCAGCTATCTATTCTGATGGATCGCTACCATCTACGGCTCTTTCTCAGGTTATTTGAGAGTGATTTCTCTCTGGCTGGAGGAATCTTTAGACTCAAATTATAAAGGTTAAAAATTTGTCCTATATATTTCAAATGTTTTCTATATATATATATATATATATATATATATATATATATATATATACATACATACAGGGTATATATATATTGTAAACAGAATGTATTTGCATTTTTTCATACTGAAAATAAATGTCAAAATATATATTACTAAATGTATTTCAAGGGGCAGAAAAATAATCTAGTTCAGAGTCGACCTCTTTGGCTGTGGCAGACACCGCCGCCCCAGGGTAAGTGAGCAGCCCAGACACACAAAATGGTGGTATCCATTACTGGAAGCACTGAGGAAAGGGGAAAGACCTGGTCTTTCCACCGGGCTAGAGAGGGCCAGGACTACAGGGCCAGGACCACTGGGCCGGGGAAGCGCTGAAACCACCAGACTTGAGACCACTGGGCTGGGGAGCGCTGAGACCAACAGACTTGAGACCACTGGGCTGGGGAGCGCTGAGACCAACAGACTTGAGACCACTGGGCTGGGGAGCGCTGAGACCAACAAACTTGAGACCACTGGGCTGGGGAGCGCTGAGACCAACAGACTTGAGACCACTGGGCTGGGGAGCGCTGAGACCAACAGACTTGAGACCACTGGGCTGGGGAGCGCTGAGACCAACAGACTTGAGACCACTGGGTAGGGAGCGCTGAGACCAACTGACTTGAGACAAAGTCCTTTTAGGCAAGTCATGCCACTCGGCCGCCATCTTGGCAACGCCTCCAGGCAGCTATTTCGGACTAACAAGACCAGGCTCCTATCTAAATGAATGGGCAGAGAGTCAGAACTGCAATTTCACTGGTCACCGGGACATAAAAACTGCATGTATAGAAACAGCAGTACATTATGATAAAAATCGCTGAAAAGGTTTGATGACTTTGCCCCAATTTAAAAGGCCTTTTTTCCCCACAGGTTATACTTTTACTACGCATGCGCAAGGGTTCTCTCCCTCTGTCGTGCGCGCGTTACACAGTTTGAAGCACAGTATGTGCGAGCTCTTGCTCGCTTGCTCTAGATTCCGGGAGATTTGAACTAATTTGCGGGCATCAGGGAGCCGCTATCAATCTGCGGGAGACTTCTGATGTCTGATATTTACACAACTCACACATACACTGCATATCAAATCTGCCGCCTTTTCAAACAGTAACGTATTTTGCGCTGTCGCAAACCTCAACTGTGCGCATGCGTCAGTGGAACCAGACGATAGGCTTAAATGTTTCCCGGCTTGACTGTTAAAAGCAGACGATTGACTTTCCAGCGGGAGGGGCGGGACATGTGCATACAACCGCCATCTTTGGCATTACGGGTTTTCCCTATATAGTTGTACTAAGGATTGATGAAGTGGCATGTCTCTATATAAATAGTCTCTGCTTGAGACCACTGGGCTGGGGAGCGCTGAGTCCAACGGACTTGAGACCACTTGCTGTGGAGCGCTGAGACCAACAGACTTGAGACCACTGGCTGGGGAGCGCTGAGACCAACAGACTTGAGACCACTGGCTGGGGAGCGCTGAGACCAACAGACTTGAGACCACCGGGCTGGGGAGCGCTGAGACCAACGGACTTGAGATCACTGGCTGGGGAGCGCTGAGACCAACAGACTTGAGACCACCGGGCTGGGGAGCGCTGAGACCAACGGACTTGAGATCACTGGCTGGGGAGCGCTGAGACCAACTGACTTGAGATCACTGGCTGGGGAGCGCTGAGACCAACTGACTTGAGACCACTGGGCTGGGGAGCGCTGAGACCAACGGACTTGAGATCACTGGCTGGGGAGCGCTGAGACCAACGGACTTGAGATCACTGGCTGGGGAGCGCTGAGACCAACTGACTTGAGACCACTGGGCTGGGGAGCGCTGAGACCAACGGACTTGAGATCACTGGCTGGGGAGCGCTGAGACCAACGGACTTGAGATCACTGGCTGGGGAGCGCTGAGACCAACTGACTTGAGACCACTGGGCTGGGGAGCGCTGAGACCAACGGACTTGAGATCACTGGCTGGGGAGCGCTGAGACCAACGGACTTGAGATCACTGGCTGGGGAGCGCTGAGACCAACTGACTTGAGACCACTGGGCTGGGGAGCGCTGAGACCAACGGACTTGAAATCACTGGCTGGGGAGCGCTGAGACCAACTGACTTGAGACCACTGGCTGGGGAGCGCTGAGACCAACTGACTTGAGACCACCGGGCTGGGGAGCGCTGAGACCAACTGACTTGAGACCACTGGGCTGGGGAGCGCTGAGACCAACGGACTTGAGATCACTGGCTGGGGAGCGCTGAGACCAACTGACTTGAGACCACTGGCTGGGGAGCGCTGAGACCAACTGACTTGAGACCACTGGCTGGGGAGCGCTGAGACCAACAGACTTGAGACCACTGGCTGGGGAGCGCTGAGACCAACTGACTTGAGACCACCGGGCTGGGGAGCGCTGAGACCAACTGACTTAAGACCACTGGGCTGGGGAGCGCTGAGACCAACGGACTTGAGATCACTGGCTGGGGAGCGCTGAGACCAACTGACTTGAGACCACTGGCTGGGGAGGGCTGAGACCAACTGACTTGAGACCACTGGGCTGGGGAGCGCTGAGACCAACGGACTTAAGACCACTGGCTGGGGAGCGCTGAGACCAACTGACTTAAGACCACTGGCTGGGGAGCGCTGAGACCAACTGACTTGAGACCACCGGGCTGGGGAGCGCTGAGACCAACTGACTTGAGACCACTGGGCTGGGGAGCGCTGAGACCAACGGACTTGAGATCACTGGCTGGGGAGCGCTGAGACCAACTGACTTGAGACCACTGGGTGGGGAGCGCTGAGACCAACTGACTTGAGACCACTGGCTGGGGAGCGCTGAGACCAACAGACTTGAGACCACTGGCTGGGGAGCGCTGAGACCAACTGACTTGAGACCACCGGGCTGGGGAGCGCTGAGACCAACTGACTTGAGACCACTGGGCTGGGGAGCGCTGAGACCAACGGACTTGAGATCACTGGCTGGGGAGCGCTGAGACCAACTGACTTGAGACCACTGGGTGGGGAGCGCTGAGACCAACTGACTTGAGACCACTGGCTGGGGAGCGCTGAGACCAACAGACTTGAGACCACTGGCTGGGGAGCGCTGAGACCAACTGACTTGAGACCACCGGGCTGGGGAGCGCTGAGACCAACTGACTTAAGACCACTGGGCTGGGGAGCGCTGAGACCAACGGACTTGAGATCACTGGCTGGGGAGCGCTGAGACCAACTGACTTGAGACCACTGGCTGGGGAGCGCTGAGACCAACGGACTTGAGACCACTGGCTGGGGAGCGCTGAGACCAACTGACTTGAGACCACTGGCTGGGGAGCGCTGAGACCAACTGACTTGAGACCACTGGCTGAGGAGCGCTGAGACCAACGGACTTGAGACCACTGGCTGGGGAGCACTGAGACCAACGGACTTGAGACCACTGGCTGGGGAGTGCTGAGACCAACTGACTTGAGACCACTGGGCTGGGGAGCGCTGAGACCAACTGACTTGAGACCACTGGCTGGGGAGCGCTGAGACCAACTGACTTGAGACCACTGGCTGGGGAGCGCTGAGACCAACAGACTTGAGACCACTGGCTGGGGAGCGCTGAGACCAACAGACTTGAGACCACCGGGCTGGGGAGCGCTGAGACCAACAGACTTGAGACCACCGGGCTAGGGTGCGCTGAGACCAACTGACTTGAGACCACTGGCTGGGGAGCGCTGAGACCAACAGACTTGAGACCACTGGGCTGGGGAGCGCTGAGACCAACTGACTTGAGACCACTGGGCTGGGGAGTGCTGAGACCAACTGACTTGAGACCACTGGGCTGGGGAGCGCTGAGACCAACTGACTTGAGACCACTGGCTGGGGAGCGCTGAGACCAACTGACTTGAGACCACTGGCTGGGGAGCGCTGAGACCAACAGACTTGAGACCACTGGCTGGGGAGCGCTGAGACCAACAGACTTGAGACCACTGGGCTAGGGTGCGCTGAGACCAACTGACTTGAGACCACTGGCTGGGGAGCGCTGAGACCAACAGACTTGAGACCACTGGGCTGGGGAGCGCTGAGACCAACTGACTTGAGACCACTGGCTGGGGAGCGCTGAGACCAACTGACTTGAGACCACTGGCTGGGGAGCGCTGAGACCAACAGACTTGAGACCACCGGGCTAGGGTGCGCTGAGACCAACGGACATAAGACCACCGGGCTGGGGAGCGCTGAGTCCAACGGACTTGAGACCACTTGCTGTGGAGCGCTGAGACCAACAGATTAGAGACCACTGGGATGGGGAGCGCTGAGTCCAACGGACATGAGACCACTGGGATGGGGAGCGCTGAGACCAACGGACTTGAGACCACTGGGATGCCAGCTGCTCGCACCAACATCAGCGGTGGATCCGCCACACTGGATGCCAGTCTTCTCCGCCCTGAGACGTATCCAGTGGCCAGGGTGGTACAGGCCGATGGTGTATGTAGCAGCCAAGCTCTGCGGCCACCATTGCAATAGGTGCATAGCCCCATATATATACAGTATTTGCCAACTATATTTGCCCCCCCCCCCTTAAAAAAAAAAAAAACATAATGAGAGCAGTTTTCTTTCTTGTGTTAACATTTTTTCCTATTTTCTCTCCTTAAAGGAAGTTCAGGCATATGGAAAGGATTGTATAATTTAGAGAGCTTTTTATTGTATGCATTTTTTTATATCAGTGATTGCAAGATGAGTCATCAAAAAGAGAAAGCCTACAAGTGTATATCTGCTAAAAGTCTATGATGTAATTAACATAGGCATCCTACCAGATACAGAAGCTTATAAATAACCAATTTGAAGGGTGGTGAAAATGAGGATGAGTAAACAATGAGTTATTTTTCATTCTGTTTGTATTTGACATGCACTAGGTCTAGAGGAGAGATTTCAGTGGTCTGTACCTAGTCTGTTGTCCTGTGTGAGGTTCACCATACTCCCGTCCTCAGCTAAACCCTCCTGCAGGTTACTCAGAATCTGTGAAAGGACAAGAACAGAAGTTTTACAACCCCAATTACAGCTATGCTAATTAAATTTCAGAGCAGGTGCAGCCAGTGAGGTGTAAAGTTCAGCTCACCTTCTGACAGACGCTCTTTATTCTGTGGAGGCGGTCCAGAGTATCCTGAGGCTTCTGCAAATACTGAGGTAGCTCTGCGTGCAAAACACGCATGGAGAACGGCACCATCGAGCCTAGGCCATCCGAGACAGAGGCATATGAAACACATTTAGGGATATTAACACTAATGCATAGTCTTTCTCTTCTGCAAAAACTAACAAGCCCACATTTTCCATTCTTGCTTCTTTTTCTGTCAATACACTGAAGAATCAGACTCCATGCTGGTGAAACGAGCTTTGATCACACCACTCTTTGATATCGGGATGGATCCTGTAACGTAGACCTGGGTCTGAAGAGCTTCAAATTTCACCTGACCGACTGCAAAAGGTTTTTATATATTGGTATGACTGGAAATAAAGCTCTGTTGGGTAATGGGCTGATATTATGATTGCATTTGAGAGGGAACTAATTCCTGGATTTGCACAATCATTTGAAAGATACAGTCCCATTCAAAAGTTTGGGGTCGGTAAGATTTTTTAAATGTTTTTTTTTTTTAAAGAATTATTCGCCAAGGCTGAATTTATTTGATCGAAACCACAGTAAAAACAGTAACACTGTGAAATATTTAAGATAATTGTGTTTATTTTTCCCCCCACATTTATTTTTGTCCATTTGCTTTCTCACAGAACAAACACAAAACAAAGAACAACTGTGACAACTACAAAAACTAAGAACTAAAAACTAAAAAAAAACCTAAAAAAAACAACCTAGAACAGCTGAAGGACAAATGCATACAAAAAAATCCCCATCATTGTACAGGTAATTCTGTAACATAATACATACTTGCAAATGTATAAATTAAATAATAATAGGACTTTTACTACCATTATAACATAAAAATAACATTGATAATAAAATGATCCTGAGTATTGTCAGCCATCTAATAAGACTTAGTCAGAGTTTTAATTACACAATCAGTGATTACAGATAGTCATCACTTACTAAAATGATTTTAAATAAATTATAAGTATAATAAAAACAGAAATAAAAATCTTTTTATAACATTATAAATGTCTTTACTGTCACTTTTGATCAATTTAATCAGGGTTTCCGTTGTCCGGTAATTAGCGGACATTGGCCGGGAAAAAAATTAAATGTCCGACAAAATTAAATCTCTCCGGTCAAATTGTCCGATTAAAATGGCCTAAAAATCCCGCCCCCCTAACACAATCTGAATTTGAGAATAAGCCTAAAATGTATAAAGCAAAAATACACTGAATCAGAAGGATTATTTGCCATTTTACAAGCATTGAGTCTGCGGACACCGCTCCTCTTATCGATGCCGTAAGCCTGTGACTTGATGCCCTCGCTGTCATGACAGCGCTCCGTGGCTATGGAGGATTGCATTTCTCCACAGCCTGTGAAGTCCTCATATGTGATTTCAACGAAATGTATCCAGTAGCCTAGGGATGCTCATTTCAAACATTTATTTTTTTTATTTATCAAAGAGTTTATTTTAACGTGCAAAGTGCAAACAGATCAACAACAGAAAAGATCAACAACAGAACCTGGATTCAGATCAAATTTTCACGCACCTGCTGCATTTCTGACAGTGACAAAGGAGAAAAACAGAATAAAATAATACAAAAAAAACCCCCATAAAATTGGCCAACACTAAATATATTTTTTTAACTTAAATAATTAACAAATTAAGATGACAAAAAGAAAACACTGAATCCGTTTGAACGAAGCTTTAAAAAAAACGGCTTTTTTTTTTCGTTAAATAAGATTTTCGTTAAATATAAGCCCTACCTCAATTCCCACCGAGATGTTTTTATCTCGATGCGGCGCGGACACGCTTGGAAAAACGAGCGCGTTGCACCGTGACCGCTTCGCTTCCATTATAAGCGCGCATTTGAAATAACGAACTTGAGCGCGCAAAAGACGTGATATGTGAACAGGCCCTTACGCGGCTTATGCGCATTGCAAGTTGTGGAGAGACACTGGAAAGTTTTGATTTTAACTCGGCAACTGCACAATTCAGCGCTGCAAAACAGCGTAAAAAGTTGCCTAAAATGACGCGAGACAATGTTATAGGCCTAGTCATTTGTTTGTTCCAGTTCATTTGACAAGGAGTCATTTCACGGTGGCCAATTTAAATGTTACCAGCTAAATGAGACATACTGAGAGTGTATAATTAAGTTTGCTTGAGTAAAAACAATAGGCTACTATTCAGATATGTTATGTGGGGAAGGGGGATTGGTTTGTTGAACTATGAATGTGAAACCATAGTAAAAACAATTGGCGTTGATTGACGCCAATCGGACGATCATGTTTTTTTTTTCCGTCTATTTGAAAGTTAGGCTAATAAACATGTTGCATTCTATACGGCCTGATTATGTCATTTTTTAAGTTACATAGCCTGCCTCCAGTTTTCCTCAACTTGACTAATTAAGAGGCGATATTTGACCGGCATATCATCAAAATGTCCGTAAAATGAAAACTCTGCCGGTCACTTTGACCGGCACCATTTTTTTTCTAGCGGAAACTCTAAATTTAATGTGTCCTTGCTCAATAAGAGTATTAAATTATTTAAAATAATAAAAACTAACTGACTCCAAACTTGTGTAGTGTATGGGAAGCTGTTCCAGAATATCTTAATATCGCCTTGCACCTTAAATACAGTTGAACAACTTTTACCTCGTCTTCCAGGGTAAACCGTCGGGTAATATTCGTAGTAGAGGTTTGGATGGTCAAGATCCCCAAAGGGCTCAAACTCCAGTTCAGCGTTCTGGAAAAGGTTGAGCTTCACCAGAAGAGCAAGACGCACAAACCACAGCTGTAGAGACAAAAGAGGTGTCTGCTTCAACAAAATTATGCAACATTTAGCTCTTTCTGTAAGTGAGTTGTGCAATGCTTTGTGATGAAGATTCCAGACGAGCTCTTCTCTGCAGAAGTGCGTGTGGAGATCAGTGTGGACATCAAAGCGAGCGGGGGCTTTGACACGAGCCACGGGCCCGTCAGCGGGTTACTGTGGACTGAGTGGGAGTCGGACGCCAGCTCAAACGCTGACAGCTCTGCTGCTTCACATGTTTATCAGTGTGGGGAACTGAACAAGGCTCTAGGGCTGGGTATCCACAACAATTTCATCACAAGCTTGCTATTCATTTAAATTCTGATCTTGATTCGAAATCCAATTATATATCAAGTACATTTACATTTACATTTATTCATTTAGCTGACGCTTTTATCCAAAGCGACTTACAATTGCTATATTTCAGAGGTCGCACGCCTCTGGAGCAACTAGGGGTTAAGTGTCTTGCTCAGGGACACATTGGTGTCTCACAGTGGATTCGAACCCAGGTCTCTCACACCAAAGGCATGTGTCTTATCCACTGCGCCATCACCACCCCCATGTAAGTACATTACATGTCAATTTTTCGCAAAGAAAATGCTGTAAACTATACCAGGGTACACTGTCAGTTGGTATATTACTATAATATTTAAGTCATTTGTAAATGTCTAAATTGCTCATAAGGCAGTTTTGATAAAAATAACATTATAATAATAACTTTTTAATGGAAGTAAATTAATGACAAATGTCTTTGAAACATTGAAAAAAAATGCATTGAAGTGCTTGCATTTTAAAGGGTTAGTTCACCCCAAAATTAAAACTCTGTCAGTAATTACTCTCCCTAATGTTGTTCCACCCCGTAAGACTTTCGTTCATCTTCAGAACACAAATTAAGATATTTTTGATTAAATCTGAGAGCTGGATCTCTCCTCCATAGGCCTCTTAAGGGATCGAAACTGGCCGGCCCAAAAGTTATGAAAGACATTGTTAAAATAGTCCGAGTGACTACAGTGGCTCAACCTTAAGTTTATCAAGCGACGAGAATACTTTTTGTGCGCAAAAAACAAACGAAAATAACGACTTTATTCAACTATCCATTTCCTTCTCTGTGGGCCTCGAGATTTCACGTAGTGTAACAGCGCAGCGCTTCTGTGTTGTAAGTCAAACGCAGGCTCACTATTGGCCGACGCTGGTCATGTGTGTGATGTGTGACGTGCAACACAGAAGCTTTGCGTAGTTTCACTACGTGAAATCTTCTGTGCTTCCGCGTTTATCAATACGTCATGCATCGGGTCAGAGGTCACCAGAACTAGACTAGTGTATGGCCGCGGAAGTCATTGATTATAGTTTATAAAGTTATAAATATGTTTATTTTTCATACAAAAACACATGGCGTCACTTCAGAAGGCCATTATTAACCCTCTGGGGACCAGAAACGCGCGGGCGCGTTTTGCTCGTTTTTTTTCCACATAGCAGAAAAATAGACTTAAAGTACTACCATCATTTCTGTTCATATAGAGTTAAGAAATATGAGAAAATAATCTGTTAAATGTCTACTTTTTTATGTGCCCACATACAATCGAAATAAAATATTGTGCTTTTGTAAAATAAAGAAAATAAACAGGGTGTGCGTTCTGCCTCTCAGTCACCGTGAACTTTTTTTCTGGAGCACGTCTCTAATCTTCAACACAACTCAGCTTATACTATTCACCCAGCCATAAGCAATATATCTTTTAAATCGTTTGAGTTTGTACTTTTAAATGATCCGATTCAAAACTAAAATTAATATTCTCCGTTTATGTTATCTATATAAAAAGAGAGACGTGTCAGCCCGTCTCATTATCGTTCTCTCAGCTGATTATCCCTGGTAATGTGACACGCCCACGGAGAGCACGCGCTATTCAAACGCAAATGTGAAGCAACACATTGAGACGCGTTAACGCCCATAAACTCTGAAAACACACATTATTTTTTAGTCAGATTAATCTACTGTCGTCTTGCGCGGCTATATGAGGAACAATCCTGGGACATTTACCACTGGGTTTATTTTCACTGCGAGGATGAACAGATTCAGCTGAGAAGTAAGTGTTTTTTGCAAGTGCTTTGTTCTAATCGCGATATAGAATAACGTAGTGTCTGTAAACGGAAAAATAGCGTACTGTTAAATGTGAATCATGTTTGTGTGTGTGTGTGTGTGTGTGTGTGTGTGAGTTGGTTTATGTGATTTATGAGGACACAAATTTGTATAATGACATGTGTATTACACTGGTATTACAACTTATGGGTGGTTTATGAGGACATTTCAAAAGTCCTCATAAATCAAATGGCTTAAAAAACATAAAAAACAATGTTTTATTAAAAAATTAAAAATGCTGCATGTCTCCTGTGATGGGTAGGTTTAGGGATAGGGGCAGTGTAGGGGGATAGAATATATAGTTTTTACGGTATAAAAACCATTATGCCTATGGAGAGTCCTCATAATGCTGTTGCACCAACATGTGTGTGTGTGTGTGTGTGTGTGTGTGTGTGTGTGTGTGAATGAATGAATGAATGAACGCACAGATACGCACTGTTACAGACTAAATAACATTTCGTTGACTCGTTTTGGATAAAGTTTTTACTCTAAAATAGACATCAAATAAGCTTTTTTTAGGAGTTTCTGCTCATATGTTAAATATATAGTATGTTTTGTCAATAAACTAATCAACTAAGATGTTTTAGTGTTTGTTCAAGCTATCAAAATAATGAATCCTCAACTTTGAAATATGTATGATCAAACTAAGACATTTATGGAGAAAGACAATTTTCTTTTCAAGATGTTTCCAACTCTAACTTTGAACTTTGAACTGAAATAAAACCATGTCTATACGGTGAAGGGTGTGTGATAGAAGTGTCCAGACTTATGCACCCTGTATTTTCCTTATATAAATCCAAACAATCTAAAAGCCATTCTTTTTTAAATCTCCTCATTCTTTGTGCAAGGCTCCTGTAATGATATGGCCTGATAGCACCTAATAGGGCCATTATGGGGAGGGTCTTTGTCTTTCTCAGGTGTGAAATTCCACACATATTAATGAGAGACCACGCCTCCTCGCATAAAGCTTTCTCAAACAAAACACGTCATTAAAAATGTAAAAGACTTTATTGACTTATCTGAATGAGTAGTCAGGATGATTCTCACATAGTTTTGGAGCAAATATTCTAGGCTATGTGATACAATTTTCAAAAGTCTTGTGAAGAAATAATCAATATGTGTTTTGTGGTCTTATTTCAGCAACTTTCATTTTTATTTTTTTCAATAACCACGCATAAACATTATTCTATTAAAAATACAAACATGTACATACATGTTGCTCACTCATCATGGTAGCCAAGTTTGTGCTATATAGAGTGAATTTACACCTTTGCCATTAACATGTTTATAAATAACTGAAAAAAGCACAAATGTCAGTGCATGTCAAAACATCCCAAGGGCCCCAAAAACACTCTGGTCCCCAGAGGGTTAAAGGAGCTGTATGTAAGAAATGTATTTCAATTAATCATAAAATGGCCCTGATATATCACTAGACATTAAGAAATCATGTACATTTCAAATACTTATATCACTGACAACAGTAGTCCGGCCAGGATATTGTCATTTAAAAAGTGCAGTTGCAGCCCTCAACTGATGTTGATGTTGTCATGTTGTGTTTTGGTCTGATGCTCCACCCTCCACCTATCTACCAATCACGAAGTCAGTAGTGTTGCGGCATCCGGGTTGCCAGCTCTTCTCTAGTTACCACAGCTGCAGCTCGTCACGTTCCTGCTGGATCCTGCAGCCTATCTGGCAACCTTGAGTCAGGGGGGAGGGGGAGGGGATACACCACTCTACAGTAATTTGAAAGTGATTGCAGTACCAGTTTTGGCCACAATCTTACATACAGCTCCTTTAAAGGGTTAGTTCACCCAAAAATAAAAATGATGTCATTAATGACTCGCCCTCATGTCGTTCCAAGCCCGTAAGACCTCAGTTCATCTTCAGAACACAGTTTAAGATATTTTAGATTTAGTCCGAGAGCTTTCTGTCCCTCCATTGAAAATATATGTCCGGTATACTGTCCTTGTCCAGAAAGGAGATAAAGACATCATCAAAGTGGTCCATGTGACATCAGTGGGTTAGTTAGAATGTTTTGAAGCATCGAAAATACATTTTGGTCCAAAAATACCAAAAACTAGGACTTTATTCAGCATTGTATTGTCTTCCGGTTCTGTTGTGGATCCGCGTTCAGTGACGCTGCTGACGTAAGACGCTGCTGACGTGTGTCTGGTGAGTGTGTATTCGGGTTCAAATAAATATGGCTGGGCAAAAAAATGCAAGTCTTCCTCTGTGTGGAAATCATAAAAAACGAAGCTCGGGCGCACCAGACACACGTCAGCAGCGTCTTACGTCAGCAGCGGCACTGAACGCGGATCCACAACAGAACCGGAAGACAATACAATGCTGAATAAAGCAGCTTCAAAATACCGAAGGCAAGACACAGCCCGACAAATGTCTTCATCTCCGTTTTGGAGACAGGGTTCCACTTCGAGTTGGTGACCGCGCGTCTTTTCGGCGCGTGCGGTGTGTGTGGGGCTGTTTACACCTGGCCACTTCACGCGTTTTCTGTGATCGTATAGCTATCCGATCGTGAAAAGACCAGGTGTAAATGCCCTCCGAGACGGATTTGAATCCGATCGCTCAAACCACTTCAGGAGGAGGTCTGGGCCGCATTCCAGACGAAACTGGACAAGTGTAAATGCATCTGGTTGTTGAAACCACATAAGTAAATTTTACTCCTCCCAAAAATGCTAAAAGATAAACGTGTGAGAGCGTGTTATAGGCTATATGTCATGTTATAGTCAGATATGACGACGCTACTGCGACACGACGCATCACCTCAGATGAGCAGCTGAGCATCTATTCATCAAGCCAACGCGCCGCAAACTATCGCAAATCAAAGTGAAAGTAAGTCCCAGACGCTTAATTTGTCGGGCTGTGTCTTGCCTTCAGTATTCTTGCCTTTGCACACGCCTCTGTCGTTGCCATTTTCTCGCTCGCGTCTCCAAAAAAAATCCCAAACAAATGCACGTGTATAGCTGATTGATTGACGTGATTTTTAGCGAACTACAGTACATTTGGGTGGTCACGTGGTCTTTAAAAAATCAACAAGACCCACCTCATGTGTATTTGAACCAATGACAGTGCGTTCTATGCTGCCAGCGTCATGAAAAGGATGACGAATACAAAACGCTGCGCCACGCAGCAGCCGGCAGGAGGTTCAGAGTTGCGCAACGCAGTAACCGGCGGTAGATATAATGTTTCGGCACGCAGCATCCGGCACAAATGGGTTAATGACATAATTTTCATTTTTGGGTGAACTAACCCTTTAACCCTCTGGAGTCGTATGGAGCACTTTTATGATGGATGGATGTGCTTTTTAGAGCTTCAAAATGTAAGGTACCATTCACTCCCATTATAAAGCTTGAAAGAGCCAGGATTGTTTGGCTGAAAGAAGAAAGTCTTACACACCTAGGATGGCTTGAGGGCGAGTAAATCATGGGGTGATGTTCATTTTTGGGTGAACCGTCCCTTTAAGCGCTGGGCCGCAGCCCTGTAGAGCGCACAGGTTGTGCTCACCTGTAAGGAGTCAGTGGTGTGTCCGGTGGGCTGGCCGCTCTTGCCGTAGCCCTGGCCGTGAGCCGTCAGCAGTCGTCCCGTCAGATCCACGGACGCCCTCCAGTTCTTAGTGCTCTGTGGGCCGAGAGAGAAGATGAAGACATTAAACAAACAGCTGCTCGCTCAGGAGGAGGCGCGAGAGAGACGACAAGGTCACTGTGAGCACTCGCTTTACATGACACTGGCATTAGTTTCAGCAAGACTTTCGTTTCAAAACTTGCATATGTTGCAAAAAATAAATAATTGACTGCAATACAAACTAGGGACAGACAAATTAGGCTTGGTTTTCCTCACATATGGCGTACTGTAGATTAGTTTTTTGGGTGGCAGGCACATTTCCCTGCAGTGGATTTGATCACTTTGCACATATATCCGATTTGTTTTTCAGATCTGATCTTCAGTGTCTGCAGTGTTATTTTGCATGGATGAAATTGTGATCCGTTTGTTAAGACAATATCAGTCAATATCCGGCCTATATCTCAGTCGGGCCAATGGTTAAATTTTTACTTGCCCTGCTATACTTTTCACTGGCCTTTTTTGGCTTGCTTAGTTGGGTACATTTAATTATTCAACAATATTTTTGATCTGCCTTACTTCAGGTGGACAATGACGCAATTTTATTCTAGAAACAAACTTCTTGTATTTATTTTCATGTTATCACTGTGAAGATGCTTTGAAACAATCTGTATTGTAAAAAGCGCTATATAAATAAAGATGACTTGACTTGACTGGCCCTACTTTTCACTATTATTGTTTTTGACTCATTGTTTTAGAATCAACATTGTATTCTATTAAATAGCTTATTATGACACCATATTTGTAGACCATTGAAATTTCACTATTCTCTAACCTAATTTTGATACCACAGCAAAAACTACTAGCCTGACAAATAAAAAGTTCTGAAACAATATAAAAGACAAGTGAAGAGTCAGTAATAAAATAAGAACAAAAATACATAAATACGAAACATTTTCTGTGTTTGTATTTGTCCGTATTTGTCCTGAGTATTTTCTCCTTAAACTGCAGTGAACCAAAGACAGTCTCAAAAACACGGTTTGAAATCGCTGGTGTTTCTGACGTCTGACGTCGAGTGAGTGAGTGAGTGGAGGCGGGGCTCATTTGCATATTCATAGAACCGAGTATACTAAATGAGGCAAGGGTGTCGACTTACATTCAAGATATTTTAAGGCATGAAGAATGTTTTTAAAGGAAAAAAAAATCATATGTAATTTTGGTGTTTAAAGATGAGTTTTAAGGGATAAAATGATTGACTACATGGGGACTTTAACAATTAATCCTTAGGTTAATCGGTTACACTTATTTTATTTTAAGGTAATGTAGTTACATTGTACTTACTCAGATAAGTACTGAATATAATTGTATAACTACATGTACCTATTATAGTTACGATTCGGAAATAGGGTTTGATTTAGGGTTATTACGGTAACTTGAAATTATGCATAATTTACTGTTATTGCGTGCAACTACGTGCACTATATTCCAAGACTTCTGAAGTTATTTGATAGCTTAATGTGAGGTACTAATGAATATTTAAGTCATTAAGTTAAAGTTAATGGCAACTCATCTCTCCTCAGTCATTCTCCATTTAGCATTCAAACAGTGCGTCGCGTTCGGGTATTACAGTCAACACGATGAAACTCATTTCAAGATCAATGTTCCCATTATTATACTGTATTTGTAGATTAAAGTCTGCGGTTTTGCACTAAATTACTTTATTTTGTTAATTGCTGTTTCTAAATCATGTCATCTTTCTACCTAGTGTCTATATAATACAATATAATACACTATGCATCAATATCTCTTCCCTTTTTGCTTTGAATTTATCAATGCGAAGTGCTGCTTGCTGACTCCATGTTGCTTCAAGCGCATTCTGCGCAGTTTTCATATCATAATACTTTTGCACAATAAAAGGTTATTAACAGCCTATCTTGTTCTGTCCTATCTATCATATGTTGCTTCCTCATTAAAAAGCTGCGTTTAAAAGAAATGTCTTTTGATTTTATAGAATATATATATTTATATATACAGTATATATATATATATATATATATATATACACTCACCGGCCACTTTATTAGGTACACCTGTCCAACTGCTCGTTAACTCTTAATTTCTAAGCAGCCAATCACATGGCGGCAACTCAGTGCATTTAGGCATGTAGACATGGTCAAGACAATCTCCTGCAGTTCAAACCGAGCATCAGTATGGGGAAGAAAGGTGATTTGAGTGACTTTGAACGTGGCATGATTGTTGGTGCCAGAAGGGCTGGTCTGAGTATTTCAGAAACTGCTAATCTACTGGGATTTTCACGCACAACCATCTCTAGGGTTTACAGAGAATGGTCCGAAAAAAGAAAAAACATCCAGTGAGCGGCAGTTCTGTGGGCGGAAATGCCTTGTTGATGCCAGAGGTCAGAGGAGAATGGCCAGACTGGTTCGAGCTGATAGAAGGGCAACAGTGACTGAAATAACCACTCGTTACAACCGAGGTATGCAGCAAAGCATTTGTGAAGCCACAACACGCACAACCTTGAGGCGGATGGGCTACAACAGCAGAAGACTCCACCGGGTACCACTCATCTCCACTACAAATAGGAAAAAGAGGCTACAATTTGCAAGAGCTCACCAAAATTGAACAGTTGAAGACTGGAAAAATGTTGCCTGGTCTGATGAGTCTCGATTTCTGTTGAGACATTCAGATGTTAGAGTCAGAATTTGGCGTAAACAGAATGAGAACATGGAACCATCATGCCTTGTTACCACTGTGCAGGCTGGTGGTGGTGGTGTAATGGTGTGGGGGATGTTTTCCTGGCACACTTTAGGCCCCTTAGTGCCAATTGGGCATCGTTTAAATGCCACGGCCTACCTGAGCATTGTTTCTGACCATGTCCATCCCTTTATGGCCACCATGTACCCATCCTCTGATGGCTACTTCCACCATGTCACAAAGCTCTAATCATTTCAAATTGGTTTCTTGAACATGACAATGAGTTCACTGTACTAAAATGGCCTCCACAGTCACCAGATCTCAACCCAATAGAGCATCTTTGGGATGTGGTGGAACGGGAGATTCGCATCATGGATGTGCAGCCGACAAATCTGCGGCAACTGTGTGATGCCATCATGTCAATATGGACCAAGCTCCCTGAGGAATGCTTCCAGCACCTTGTTGAATCTATGCCACGAAGAATTGAGGCAGTTCTGAAGGCAAAAGGGGGTCCAACCCGTTACTAGCATGGGGTACCTAATAAAGTGGCCGGTGAGTGTATATACAGTATGTATGTATATATATATATATATATATATATATATATATATATATACAGTATATACTGTATATATATATATATATATATATATATATATATATATATACACATATACACACACTATATTGCCTTTACATGCACATGAACTTTAATGACATCCCATTCTTAATCCGTAGGGTTTAAGTTGGCCCACCATTTGCACCTATAACAGCTTCAACTCTACTGGGAAGGCTTTCCACGAGGTTTAGTAGTGTGTTTATGGGACCATTCTTCTGAAAGTGCATTAGTGCGGTCAGGCACTGATGTTGGACGTGAAGGCCTGGCTCCCAGTCTCCGCTCTAATTTATCCCAAAGCTGTTCTATCGGGTTGAGGTCAGGACAGTCAAGTTCCTCCACACCAAACCTGCTCATCCATGCCTTTATGGACCTTGATTTGTGCAATGGTGCCCAGTCATGTTGGAACAGGAACATCTCCAAACCATTCCCACAAAGTTGGGAGCATGAAATTGTCCAAAATGTCTGGGTATGCTGAAGCATTAAGAGTTCCTTTCACTGGAACTAAGGGGTCGAGCCCAACCCCTGAAAAACAACCCCACACCATAATCCCCCCTCCACCAACTTTACACTTGGCACAATGCAGTCAGGCAAGTACCGTTCTCCTGGCAACCGCCAAACCCAGACTCGTCCTTTGGATCGCCAGACAGAGAAGCGTGATTCATCACTCCAGAGAACACTTCTCCACCGCTCTATAGTCCAGTGGCGGCACGCTTTACACCACTGCAACCGATGCTTTGCATTGCACTTGGTGAGGTAAGGCTTGGATATGCGGCTGCTCGGCCATGGAAACCCATTCCATGAAGCGTTCAACGCTCTGTTCTTGAGCCAATCTGAAGGCCACACGAAGTTTGGAGGTCTGTAGCTATTGAATCTGCAAAGTTGGCGACTTCTGCGCACTGTGAGCCTCTGCATGCGCTGACCCTGCTCTGTGATTTTACGTGGCCCACCACTTCGTGGCTGAGTTGCTGTTGTTCCCAATTGCTTCCACTGTGTTATAATACCACTAACAGTTGACCGTGGAATATTTAGTAGTGAGGACATTTCACGAATGGACTTATTGCACAGGTGGCAACCTATCACGGTCCCGTGCTTGAATTCACTGAGTTCCTGAGGGCGACCCATCCTTTCACAAATGTTTGTAGAAGCGTCTGCATGCCTAGCTGCGTTATTTTATACAACTGTGGCCATGGAAGTGATCTGAACACTTGAATTCAATGATTTGGAGGGGTGTCCAAATTCTTTTGGCAATATAGTATATATGTGTCTATATACACTCACCTAAAGGATTATTAGGAACACCTGTTCAATTTCTCATTAATGCAATTATTTAATCAACCAATCACATGGCAGTTGCTTCAATGCATTTAGGGGTGTGGTCCTGGTCAAGACAATCTCCTGAACTCCAAACTGAATGTCAGAATGGGAAAGAAAGGTGATTTAAGCAATTTTGAGCGTGGCATGGTCGTTGGTGCCAGACGGGCCGGTCTGAGTATTTCACAATCTGCTCAGTTACTGGGATTTTCACGCACAACCATTTCTAGGGATTATAAAGAATGGTGTGAAAAGGGAAAAACATCCAGTATGCGGCAGTCCTGTGGGCGAAAATGCCTTGTTGATGCTAGAGGTCAGAGGAGAATGGGCCGACTGATTCAAGCTGATAGAAGAGCAACTTTGACTGAAATAACCACTCGTTACAACCGAGGTATGCAGCAAAGCATTTGTGAAGCCA